ATTGAAGTCGTCAAATAGAAACTGTCCCCTTAGATATGGGTGAAGACAGCCACGATATGATATTCGACTTACTAAGTCGGAATGTAGGTATCCTTGTTGTGGTTGTAAACATCTCACATCAATTTGTTGTTAGTATTGCAAAGGAAAGCTTCGGGCCAGCTGGGTGCTGTATAGCTCACTCAAAGTTATTCGTGTGACCGCAATTAGTCTGAGCTGTTTTTTCATTAAGTAAGATACAAATTCGCCGCCATACATCAGACTTACGCCACGAATCGAAAAACTAGGCTTTGCACGTTGGAAGTGCTCTAAAGCCCGAAGTATACATCGACGGGAAAGGTAACAGCCAACGTTTTTTGAAGTGCATTTGTCGAAATCGTGACAGACTATCCTAAGAAGATTAAAGCCATAACGGAGACTTATTATTCAGCGTGGCTGAGTCGGTTCGTCGACAAAATCCGTGTGTCAAGCTAGGAGGGGATTACATTGAAAAACGAAATCATATTTCGCCAACCATGCCTTGTTTTCCATATTAGACAGTTTACGTACTTACGAGCTTTTCACGAAAAGTAAACATTACATAATTTAAAATTTTATTGAAAATGAAAAGTGCAGTAAGTGATTTTCACACGTCAGTTTTGAAGTTAGCAGAAAAATCCTTTGTCCAGCATGTATGCAAAAATGGATGAATGAAAAAATCAGACCTTGCATCTGCAAGCGTCTGTGTAGCAAAGAAGAAAACCGCGTCAGAGACCGCTTCATTGGTCAATAATATTAAATAATTGCTTCATTTATAGCAAACACCATATTTCTTTTTAAGCCAAAATGGATTGAACAGCTATCAGGCATATAGCGAAAGTCTTTCTAATTTCAATCTTGTAATCACTAAATAAAATGAAGCGTGACTCATTAGCCTTTGCCATCCCGCAAAGGTATATTTAGCGGGAATTCCACGAGGACAAGTGGGTTGACAAAAAGTAATTTTAGCGATTTGCAGTTGCGCAGATTAGACTTTTCAAATTTCCCATTTAAAGTTGCTCTAAAGCAGCATATGGTCATTTACTTTGAAGTGCTTGAAGCTGAAATCACTTTTACTCGTTTATTTTGCAAAACTTGTAGAGTTGCCAGTTAGTGATTTTCAGACTCCCACAAGCGTACCCAGGATTCATCGTGTCACGATCTTGACACTGATTCTCTAAGTATGACGATGGAATTTTTAGAACAACTGTCATCGGAATTTTTGGTTTGATGCTATATTTTCATACTACGTTGAATTTTGTAACGTATATGGATTTTACTATAATAAATCACTTGGCGATTTTGCTTTATCAATTTGTTCACGATATCGATCGATTTATTGCCATGGGAACGAATTTTGAATCGGTATTATTTTACGCACACACACACACAAATGTACACAACTATTCAGCGAATTAACTACGGCCACGATCAAATTGATAAAGAGGACTATTGTTAAGTTGCCTATTATTGAAGATTTAAAATATTATTCTAGACGATAATCGAGTATAATAAATAAATAATTGATCGTATGGTGAAATTAATGGCATTTAAATTCTTCCCGAATTATAATAATAACTTCCGTCTGATTGTTAACGATATAACGATAGATAGTTTACTATTGCTTATTGCGCTATAAGAGCTTACTTTCAACGCGCGTCCTTAGTGTCCGAAAAATACATTAATAAACTATGTATATCCTCCACCGCCAACAACCAACGCTGAGTTTAGATGCAATGTGCGGAATTAATCAATAGGAGTTTATTACGATAATGGCAAACTATTCACATCGCTCATGTCGCAGTGCTTGGCTGGAAAATTGCGATTTATTTGTCGTATAGACGACATTTGTTTCATTGCCTGCAGAAATTTCTCATTGGCGTAAAATTTAATTTAAAAGAAGTCGAAGAAAATTCCTTGAAATTCCTTGTTGTAAAAGAAAGTAAATCAAATCGACCTGCAGTGATAGAGATGGGTATACAGGGTACCAGGAACTTTGAACAGTGAAGGAGATACAAAAAAATCGAATATTGGCCTTTGAACGTATTTTCGTATATACAAAAATGATCAATAATTTTTCGAATACTATATGCTTGATAAGCATCCTTTAAAGCTCCAAAGTTGAAAGAAATCAACTTGAACTACTTATTAATATTAAATGAAACTATTACAATAGATGGTAATTTAACCGGAGCTACACGAACACACGAAAGGTAAAACGAAGTGTCCTTTCAAGTTATAAATTACGTCATATCGGCCACAAAGCCATGAATGTCTAAAGTATGAAGGCGTGAACGCTTAAAGTCGTTTAACACATATAGTCATTGAATCGCATTATAAGCATCTTGAGTGCACTGGATAGTTTGGAATAAAAAAACAACAAATCAATGAATTTTCTCCTTCCTCTCGAAATTACGTATTTCCAGCTTACCGTACTACTGACGCTCAATTTGTCTGTCAGTCATATTTGTAGAAAATTGTTGGCTTGTTGTTCTGTTCAATGTTAAATTGTGCTGCTGTTCTTGCTACGGACATTCCTTAATGCTACAATTCGAGCGTATTCAGTTCACCTGATGCTTTATTTTAAAGATTGATTCAATAAGTTTTGATATAAATTTTCTTCCATTAATTAGTAACGGTACATTGATTTATTATACGGGCTTCGGGGATGGTTTCTTGCATTCGAAGGTGACTTTTCTTGTTTCATGATCCTTTTGATTCAAAACTAAGAATTTATTAATGCACCTATAAGCTAAAGAAATTAATAGGTCTGCTGCAGCCTCTCATCAATGCACGGAATACCTGATTAAGTTACTCATATCATATGCAGTGCGGTCTGCTTCAAATGCAATCAAGTACATTTTGATATGTAAATTTTGCGTGAGAGTGACTATATAGGAATCGATCTAAGCTTGCCTTGCCTGTCTCTCAGTTCGTCTGTCCATCCGTCTATCTGGTTTATTTTTTTTTTTTTGTGTTCAATTCGTCAATAACGTCAAATAAACACTGAAAGGGGGCAAAAAATTTAAAAAAAAAAAAAAATTAAAGAAAATTGTTCTGAATCGATTTATCCTTATATGTACGTCTGTGCCTTTGATGTTTGTCCATGTAAGTTTGTGTTCAACGTACAAGGACGACCGGTAGCAAACAAGTTCGCAATGCAAAAGCTAAGCCGAAACTGTAACTCAAAGTATAAAATAGAAATTGATGTAAACGTAGGCATAAATATTTATCAAAGATATTTTTCAATAAAGAGCGTTAACTGGTACGTATACTTGTGCCCATTATTTATTGATTTAAGATATTGAATATCGAAAGCTCACCATAGAACGTATATATATATATATTTTGTACTTTTGTGCGTGCATTAAGTTCAAGTGTTACATAAACCTATGTCAGCATATTAATAAAATATATATTGTCGTAACGTAAGGACCTGCAGATAATAAGATTTTTATAGTACTTAACTGGTGTTAGCCTTTGTTAAAGCTATACGCGGGGCTACTCATGCAAAATCGATTTGAAACAAAAGCAGCGGAATAAGTTAAGGACAATGAATAAAAGCATATAAAACGCTCTTATTATAAAAGAATTTTGCGACCTTTTACCTTTTAAACGAATAGGAAAAAAATGCATATATATATATATAAATATATATAAGTAAACCAATGATATCTCTATGCGTTTTTATGTCTGTGAACAGTAGAAAAAATATACTCGCAAACGGATTCATATGCGATATCGTTCTTTTGCATTGTAAAGCAACAGCGCCAATGGCGTTTTAGTGTATTGTGCGCACATTTGCAAACATACGTGCATGTGTTCATAAGTATTATGACGTCAGTGATCGTCTGATAGGTATAAAAAAATAAATAAATAAATAAATAAATTGTAGAAATCGCAAACATTTTAAACTTGAACTGCAGCCAATCGGCAACATCCGACACTATTTGGTTGGCGAATTTATAGCCAGCACTTATGTAGACACTAACATATATGTGACACATTGAATAAATAGCTGTTGTCTCTTAGCGGCCGGTAGGTGGTATAACTTCCCCCTCCTTGCCGATTCGTTCCCTCTCTTTACTCGTTTAAGCTAATTTGTATCTAATAGAAAAAAAAAACATTTTAAAAATTCTCAACGATATATATCCGTTTAAATTTTGTTTGAGTGGGTGTTCCTTTATTACCCTCTCTCCCTTTCCCTCTTCCCCATCTTGTTTTTTTTTTTCGCGCTATTTTTAAAAGTCAAAATTTTAATAATATTTTATTACAAATTTGTTTTAGTCACAAATGATTAGTTGGCCTTTTAACAAAGTAGCGAGTGTACATGTACATGTGTATGCCTATGCGTTTGTAGACCAAATTAAAGAATGACAAATAGCAGCATATTCTCATCCATACGTTAAACAAAAAAAAAAAAAAAACCAACCAACAAAATTGTGCTTTGATATTTTGTGCCTAATTTTTTGTTGTTTTTCGATATTTGTAATAATCAAAGTGTGGGTGAGATGGACAAGTTTTTATGATAAAACGAATTAAGTGCCCATTTAACTCAGTCTACCGTTTGAGCAGATTTATACGACACACTTTCTATCTATGTGTTTGAATATTTCAGACAATTCGTTTTCTTTACAATTTTACAAAACAAGTTCAAAATTATGAAAACAAGTCACACTTTTGTGAAAACACAAGCTATATATAAAAAATCATTTATCAGAAAATGATTTGTTGTGGTATCGTGTTACAAAGCTTTCCAAAATTTTTCAGAAAATTTTGGGTTACATGCACCTATTATTTGCAGGCAGTAAGAAATGATTATACGAGGGTTGTGTGAAAAGTTTTCGATGTAAGACAAAAGTAAGATATTTTCTTAATCATGATATAACCAAAATAACGCCCATTTAATATTTCGATGTCTTGTCCGTAGAAACATTTGTCGTAAGTCTACAAGTGCGCTTGAGCTTCCGCCGACTTCTTTTTACCTGAAACATTCTCTTGACATTCACGATGTGGACTAAACGTTCAGGGCTATACTAATATTGTGGGTGGTGCTTCAAACCTGGTAATTTTGCTATTACAACCACTAACTTCCAGCACGGCTCATACGCAATGCAGTTTGCCCGCAATGCCTCCATCCTGGTTCAACCAAACACATTGTTTTGGACATTTCCCGACACTCTAACCGTAATCCAAAAATCATTCAGCGCAAAGTGGTGAGCTTGAGCAATGCTTCTGTCAGTTTTCGCCCAGGTCCCCAATGTTCATCATCATCCAAGATGGTGCGACCACTTATCGATTCAACTAATCAAAGTTTTACCGTAATACATGGTAGTAGAGGGCACGCATGCACCGGGTTGAACTCATCTTTAATTTATGTAGACGTATCGCGTTTGGAAAGCAAATCGTTAATAACAGCCTGATACTGAATTTTTTTTCATGTTAACAAAAACACTCATATCGCCGGACATCGACGACAGTCAGTCGAACAACAATCGCGCGCCCAAAATGGCTACAATTTTGGGTTAATACATATCAAGGCGTGCGCAAACATGTTCCATAACGATTGTGAGTAATTTCCGCCAACATCATGCTCAGGTGAGGAGCTTTTCATCTATCCTATAAGCAAATTATAGTCCTTTTGATTGCTTGTATTTAGTAACCAGTGCACCGATATATGATCCAATTGTTTTAAAACGTTATCCCTTAAAGTTGCAAATCTCTAATGGTTAAGTTTGCGTACGTATATGAATGTGTGTGTGTGTGTGTGTGTGTTGCGGAATATTCTACCAGAAAAATCAAGCAAGCTGCGGGTGACGAATGAGTGAAGGATGAAATGATTAACAATTTTTCGTTGGGGAGGACCAAAATTCTCGCAATAGGCCACAGTGGATTGCAAGCCATTGCTTCGTATACTCCTTTGTACATTTTTCTTGCGGTGACTCGAATACAGCTTCTGTCTTTCAATGAATATTCTGATAAATTTCGGGTAAAATCGTATCAGACGAAAACGATCTTTATTCGATGATCGATGACTATTCGACCCCCTCTTCTACGACTCAGGCGATAACTTTGGATAATCAGCTTTTGATTTTGTTCAGTTTTTTATCTTTTGTAGCTGTTGACGGTCAATGAAACATGCGATCTTTCTCATGTTCTCGGCAACAGGAAATTGCTCACAGGAAAGTCAAGAGATGTACCCCAAGAAGTTTCTACTCAGACTGTAGAGGCACTTTTTTCTTCCTATTTACACTACTCGTGTCATATTTCGCTTTATAAAACAATTGCAAGGAATCATGAGTTTCAATAGTTCCATCCTTTTTGTTTTCTTCGTTCTAGCAACTGACAAAGACCCTTGGAGAAATTTTGTATCGGCTTCGGTTACATGATGTGATATGAAACAATAAAGTGTTAAATACATCCCGACTCGTCACAGAGAGGTGGAAACATCTCATATTCATATCACTTTCGTGCCGTTTTATCAGCAGTGACGGGGATTGTCCGTAAGAACCGCTTATTAACGCTTCAAATTTAGTATGTATGTCGTCGGGCATTCTGTTTAAATGTTCTGCGGTACATATATACCTGTGGGCTCTAATGCCATATTTTTGATGAGTGGACGATGACATCTTGCTTAACACACACAAAATTGAATAACCAACTCCTGGTTCAAATAGCGTTCAATAATATGATCAAAGAGTAATAAATGCAGCTCTAAAAGAATACATTGAGGGAAAGCAGGCGTAGAGTTTGCACGCAGTAACGTATCAAAAATAATTAACACTTTTTTGGGAGAACTTTCGTATGCAGTTTTTATAGCATCAAGCTACCATTAATAATATATAAATTCATTACAATCTATTTGTCGAATCTACGCCAGGCTTAAGAGAGAATTCTTACTTTTTTGCTTCGTTGACCCTTTACACTTTCCCGTTAAGCCGTTAAAGTGAACATTATTGCCCAAAATATACATAAGAAATTAACGTAAATCAATGAATCAATTGGTTATGAAAATAATTTAAAATTTAGAATATGTAATAAGTCATAACCGTGAACATGCACACACTTTTGTGCATAGGTAAATGTACAAATAAATATGATACATGTATATATGCACGTGTGTAATCGCAATGCATTAATAATTCCGAAAAGGGAAGAAGATTTATGGAATCGTAAATTTATTCCACACTTACCGCAATCAGTGCGCTGCCTGGACTGGATATGGAACGATTTAAAGCTTGGCGATTGCATTTGTTGACATTGACAGCAAGAAATTAGGAACAGGAACAACAGAGTCCGAATATGGGTAAATATATGCAAATCGCTATATAGAAACAAAAAGGAAACGAAATAAAAAACAAATTAAATTACGATATCAGTTCAATATATATATATATATATATATATATATATATATAAAATATATTCTATCAATGAAAAATCACTGATCGTTTATTAGATCTCTTATATCGCTCTTGCATTCTTTTTTCGTACTCTTACTCTTAATATTTTCCTCTTTTTTTTTAGCAAGTTCAAAGTTAGTAAGATTTCATAAATTTCATAATGAAAATTTTGTTTTTGTCGCTGCACATGAAACCTTGCCAAGATTTGAATTTTAATTTGAAAAGAACAATAAAACCACTATCTTAACCGACTGTCAAGTAAAACACGCGTTTCAAAATGAATATATTTTTAGGAATCGTCTGATGGCAGATGTTAACATATACGTACGTACGTACGTAAGTACGCACGCACAACCACAGTTTCTTATTTATTTCTTTTTTTTTTTTTTGCAGCATTTGTTTAAACAAATCAAACAACGGAAAAAAAAAACAACACAAAAACAATATAAACCTTTTGAACATTTGTGATAAAACACTTAACGTTAAGAAAAAATATATCTATTTTTTTATTGTTTGTGTGCAAATTATTATGGGTTTATACACATCCGCCAGATATATAGAATTCAAGTATCCTGCTGTTGCGAAATTCTTCTTTTTTTTTTTTTAATATTTTTTGTTTTATAATAAGTCAAATATGGCAAAGATGAATGGCAACGACAACAACACTAACTAACTCTCATATTCATTATAATATTAAATAACAATAACAACAGTAATAATAACACACAAACGATTTCTTCTTTTTTTGCTTTTTTTTTTTTTTGTTTTTTTTTTTTTCTTTTTTTTTTCTCTCGTTTTTTATACCGTTAACATTTCAAACATATGTTGTTATCATACACCACATACACATGCATATACACTACACGCATGCATATTACGCTCAAGTTTTAATCGCATTATATCGAAATGCAAGGAATAATAACAGAGTGGAAAAAGAAGAAAAAGACCAAGAGCAAGAACAAGAATAAGAGCAGAGAAGCAGAGCAGCAGAATAAAAAAGAATTAAGTACGTACAACTTTTGCTCGCAACTGAGCTTTTTTTTCAACGAACCGATAGTTTTATAGCTTTGCAAATTTTCCACCTGTGCCGTTTAGCTGTTTTTGTTGTATATTTTTATCAGTTTTTTATTTTATTTTATTTTTTTTTTTTTTTGTTTTTATTTTTCGCTTCTTATTTTTTCCTTTTCATACCGCATGCATTCATTTTATGTTCTTTAGGCTTTCATATGCTTATGTTTTGACTCTAAAGGCGTATTGTTGCCTTTGCAACAACAAAACAAACATGTTCGAAGCACACTTGATCAAACAACTACTATTATCTTTTTATAGTTACCATCACACCATAAAGCAGACAAAACACCACCCAACCGCTGAATTCTATAAAAATACACCCACGTTATCCGAAAGTAAATAAATAAAGTACCTAAAAGCATATATATATATATTGCCCTCTTTGAATTTGACTTTGTGACGACAGAAGAGACATGTAAAAGTTTGAAATTTTTAAGTAATAATTATAATGTTTGTAATATAAAAACGTTAATATTTGATTTTTATGGCTTGAAAAATTTTCCAACAAGTTCAAATAGAATGAAGCTCGGTCCAAGTCGTCTTGCTTCGATTACCCACCAATTATAAATGAAAATATTTGTAAAAGTTAAAATCGCAAAGCAACCACGATTGTATTGCACTTAAAAAAAAAACCCATGAAATTAAATTGTGGTTAAAACAATCGAAGAGAAAGACATTACACTGATAACGAATACGATATATGCATATATATCTCGAATTCCTACTTGCTTTGATAATAAAACTTAAGCCAAGTATTTATTTACATTTATTGTCAAATGATTTCTTGACTAAATGCTTGTTCTTCGATACAGAAATTTTAAACTATTCTGAACTCGCAACTCAACTACACGGTATTATTTAGGCAATATTGTAACACGATTTATACACAAATTTGCTATTGATTTTTTTCTTTCTACTTATTTATTTTTTTTTTTTTCTTTTCCACGTTTCTTTTGCTTGCTTTTTTTGGAAAAGAACTGTGGTCAAATGTTCTGTCCTCTACATAAAAACGTACAAATTTATCGAGTTATAATAAAAACAAGATAATGTTCTCTATGCAGACAAACCATCTTCCTCCACTCGCAATATAATATTTTTTTTTTTTTTTTTTTTTCGTCTTACTCTCAGGCCTCCCATTAAAGTTGTTTCAATAAAATTTTTCCTATATTAATAAAAAGAAAATGCAAATCAAATACAAGCACACTCGTGCACTAAACAACTAAAGTATAATTGCACACAACTACAGCGATACACGAAAAAGACAAAAATATGCAGCCTTTCACCTTCACATATGCATTTGCGAAAGCCTTGCGACTCCTTTAGAAATCTATTAGAGATATCAGGCCCTCTCTGCTATCTCGAAGTGTTTAATATGCATACCTGCCGTGATAAGGCTTAACAATGCCTTGTTCAATGGGACAGGGCGTGAGTAATGTTTACTCAACGCTTTTTTCTGAAATATCAGCGAACCTTTCATTATGTTAACCAACAGATTTCAAATTTATATTTACAAACTTCGTGCCATTGTAGTTAGGAACAACCATACCCATGATAAATACTAAAAATAATACGCCTAGCGATGTTAATTGTCGTACACCTAGCAATGTGAAGTCCATGAATGGCGTTATGGGGCGTCTGAAACTGAAAGCTTCCAGTGGAATCGATTGCACTGTAGATCTTTCAACGACCAAAAGGAAAATATCGCAATAATGGAAAGTGCAATACTATCAGGCCCAACAACCATTATCCTAAAGAAAGCTCTACCAATAAATTCCAAAGTCTTTATTATCTTCGTTCCTGTCATCGACTCATCATCATGTAATTACAACTTGGATCAACAATATCAACTTATCTGTTAAGTAAATTACGCTCTCATCTAACAAGCTATAGCAACGGTTATGCACAATAACAAAGAAAAAGGAAAGTTTCCTCGAAATATTTCTCAAAATATTTGGTATGATATTTGCACTGAGCCTTAGTATTTCCATTTTTATGTAAGAATTTGTAAATTTCGATTACATATATGGTATCAACTAATAAACAAAATGTTGTAAATGTTCTGTTCAAAGCTTATACAGATTAATTATGATCACGTTTGTATTCATTGTTATGCTATTGCTTTATCGTTGCGTTCAACTTTTTGGCATTAGAATTATTTGAAATATTAACGAAAACAACAATAACAAGAAATTTTAGATAAGAGACTTTCGGATGTAAATAGTTATACGATATACTTACACATATGTTACTGTATATGTTATTCATACATCGTATATAGGTT